CTTGGGATGCTTTATTAAGGCTGGGAGGGGCATCAGAGAGAGAGAAGAAGAAATATCAAGGGCCTGAATAAACTGCTGAAAGAAGATTCCCGAGTTGCGTCTTCCTTGCAGGCAAGGGGTCGCGACACATTTCTATACCCACCTTCCACCCACCACCTGTCACCAAAAATACACGGACATAGACACACTCTCTTCACTACTTTCACCAATATATCTATATATTGGGTAAATGAATATTATATTTATATTTTTATAATTTTAAAAATATTTTCTCTAGTGTTTTCTCAACCACCTTCTTTTCTTTTCATAGTTCAGATTATATGACCAATCAGATCCTACTTTTTTTAAATAAAAGTATGATTTTTAGTGTTCTCTGGTTTACAAATATCACAATTTAATTCTTTGTTCTTAGAATTCTTATTTTTAATTACATTTTTTCCTTCAAAGATGCTTATTGGTTTGCCTTTTGGCAGTGCATTTTAAAATTATTATTTTTGATTCACACATCATAACTGGATACATTTATGGAGGACAGTCTGTTTTGATGAATGTATAAAATGTGGAATGATTAATTAAGTTAATTAACAGATCCATCACGTGGCTGATCTATGTCATTTTAATGGTGAAATATTTGAAATTTATTTTGTCATTTTGAAATTTAAAATACATTACTATTAACTGTAGTTCCCATGCTGTGCAATAGATCTCAAAACCTGTTCCTTCTGTTTAAAATTCCTTTGATCAACACTCCCTATCACCACCACTTTTGGAAACAACTATTCTATTTTCTAACTTCTGAGTTCAATATTCTTAGATTCCACATGTAAATGATATCATAGGTTATTTTGTTAGTCATATAAATAAAACTATGTGAACATATTTGTGTGCTTAAAACATTTTTATAATTTGGATTTTTTTTCCTCATGACAGATTGTTTCTTGAGTACCAGGGATTGAACTCAGGGCACTGAACCATTGAGCCACATCCCCAGCCCTATTTTGTATTTTATTGAGAGACAGGGTCTCACTGAGTTGCTTAGTGCCTTGCTGTTGCTGAGGCTGTCTTTGATCTCATGATCTTCTTCCCTCAGCCTCCCGAGCCACTGGAATTACAGGCATGTAATGCCACTGCACTCCTGGCTTCCTCATGACAGATTCTTAGAAGTAGTAGTATCAATCAAAGGTTCTGAAGCTTTTAAATGCCTTGGATACTCATTTCCAAATTTTTATCCAAAAATTTGTATGGGCTTAACCCTCCCTGAGCAATGTCTGATGATTCCAATTTCAACAAATACCTGCCAACAATGAAAACTATTTACCAATTTTATAAGAAACAAAGGATAGCTCTTTTACAAATGTGTCCAATTACTAGTGAGTTTTAACACTTTTCTATACTTGAGAATTTTGTGTTTGTCATTTTACTTGTTGGAACCTTAATGGTATATTTAAATTTTTGATTTATTATGAGTTTGTATGCATTTTCCCTTCTATTAGTTATCTCTTAAAGTTTGTCTTATCATATTACAAGAGGTGGATGAGGGAGATAAGTTTATGAGCATGACAGAGAGGACCAAACATGGAGATTTCCCCTACCAGACATTCTTCCTGAGTCTGAAAGAGAAACAGATGTTACTTATGGATAATCAGTGTCCTGATTACGACTGCTTTTGGGCCATAACCACATCAGTGTCTCATCTCAAGAATTATTACTGTCATTCAGATACTTATAGTCCTGTTCCTGTTGCACTAATGGAAGAATTAATATGCAGCCATTTAAAGTAAGGGCTGTTGTTAACATCTTAAAACTGACTTGGGGAAACCACCAGGAAATATTTCTATTATAGAGGGACAATCATTTCTTCCTTTTTATTCTTGTGGAAACTAAAGCAGCAAGAATGTGACTGCACCATATTTTTTTTGGTGTCAGGGTGTGTGTGTGTGTGTGTGTGTACACCAGGGATTAAACTCAGGGGCACTCAGCCACTGAGGCCACATCCCGAGCCCTATTTTGTATTTTATTTAGAGACAGGGTCTTACTGGGTTGCTTAGTGCCTCGCTTTTGCTGAGGCTCACTTTGAATTCTTGATCCTTCTGCCTCAGCCTCCTGAGCCACTGGGATTCCAGGAGTGTACCACTGGGATTCCAGGAGTGTACCACTGCTCCCACATGAATAGTAGAATCTTATAGTTGGAGAAGCCTTAATTTAAAAAGTGTACCAATCATGAATTATCACAAAATTAGCATACACATGTAACCTAAATACAGGTCAAGAAACAATATTACCAGAAATCTAGAAACCTTTCTATCCTCCATCAAGACTCCCCACCTCCTTTTAAGAACACTTTTTTTTTTTTTTTGTGGTACTGGGGATTGAACTTAGGGCCTTGTGCATGTAAGGCAAGAACTCTACCATCTGAGCTATATCCCCAGCCCCAAAACCATGATCTTGACATCTAACACCACCATAGTTAGTGTGCTTTAGAAATTATATAAATAGAATCATGCAACATATAGTCTGTTTCTGGCTTTTTTATGTGTGGTAACTGATTGCACATCCTCATTGTCTTAGATCATTCCTTTGAATATATACTGTATATGAATATACATAATTTATTAGTTCTGTTAGTGGATATTTGGGTTGTTTCCAGTTTGAGGCCTTGACAAATATAGTGCTGCTGTGAACATGCTTGTCATTTGGGTGGGGGAGTGTGTGTATATATATACACACACACACATATGTACATATCTTTCACCATTATTTCGATAATACATAGAAGTGAAATTTGCTGGGTTATAATGTATGCATATTTCAAATTTAGTAGATACTGCTAAATGGCTTTGTCAAGTATTTGCAGTTTGACCTCCCATCATGTAGTATGTGAGAATCTCCACTGTACCACATCCTTATCAATATTTAGCAAAGTCATTTTACTTTTGGCATTTTTGATGAGCGTATGGTTTTTGTTTGATGAGCGTATGGATCTTGTTTTTTAAAATTACCATTTCTCCTGATCAGTGATACAGTTGATTACTTTTTATATGCTTATTAGAAATTTACATATTCTTTTATTTGTGAAATGCCTATTAAGCTTTCTTACATATTTCTTAATTGGGTTATATTTTTAAAAATTTATTTTTACAAGTATTATATTTCTGATATATGTGCTTTTGTGTTATAATTGTTGCAAATATCTTCTCCCACACTGAAATTTTATTTTTCTCTCCTAACAGTGTCTTTTCCTTTAGTGAACAAGCTCCATTTAAAGAATAGTGGCCATTTTTGCTGTTTAGTAAATCACTTTAGGAAACGTCCTATCTTCCTAGGAAGGAAACCATCATGGTCATAGACTGTTGGGAGCCTGTAGGAATGGAGACCAAGGGGGAAGCCAGGACATGGTGGAAAAGTCTGATGGACCCACTTGGTTGTGAGTGTTCCTAGAGGAAGAGACTGCTAGTCCAAAACAATAGCATATCAAGATGAATCTGGGGTCCTATGAATATCAGAAGCCTAAGTTGGAGGTCAGGGAGGACCATGGTAATTCTGGTGACATCTTTTCTAAGGATGACTAGTTCAATCTCTTGGCAGATGGGTCTCATCAGGATCTCCTTTCTGGGAGTTGTAGCAAACGCCAAGACATTAGGTTTCAGGGCTCGGGTGAGGTAAGAGGAGGTTATAGCTCCATGACCAACTGTCCTATGCCTAGGGTTGTCTGAACTTAGGAATATATGATGTGGTTGGGACACATATTACTGCCAGACTCTGTTCTTTGGAACCTAGGAGAGATAAGGGCTTTGAGTCTTCCAGTTGCAGGGGCTCAGTGTTTGGAACTAGGGATGACAGTATGGATAATGCTGCTTTGTGCTATCCTAACTGAGAGTCCTTTCACAGTTATTCTGGTGCACCCCTAAGATCCAGAGCACTTGTGCAGAGTCTGAAGTCCTGAGGGCTCATCTAGACATCTGGTTGGGTGATACTGGACATGCCATCTACCTCTCTCTACTTCTCTGTTTGTTTCAAGGGAGTTGATCATTGTTTGAGAGGCAAGTGAGTCCCTACAATATTTTAAATTAATGTTAAATAAAAAAATTTTCTCTTGTCCCCACTGCCTTTAGGTACTTTACTATATTAAAAAAGGATTTAAATATGAAAAAACTCTTGTGAATGTTAAGTTCTTTCAGTCTGTTTCTTCCTAATTGGTTAAAATATATTTCATAACAGGGATTTTGAAAATGCTTTTCCATGTTATTGTCTGCGTACCTTTACACCTAGATAGAAACTAGGAATGCATTTTGTTTGTGGTGTGAGGTAGACATTGAGCTCATAGTCTTACATTTATTTACCCTTGTAGGTGCGTCGTGTGTGTGTGTGTGTGTGTGTGTGTGTGTGTGTGTGTGTTTCACTCTATTTTCTGTTCTAGAAAGCAGACATGTCACATATAAGTAAATGTGACTGATTAGATGGGGTATGTGAATTTCTTTGTCTGGTAGTATTTAGAAGCTGAAGGCTAACATGACAATCATGATGGTAGATTCGTGACCATTATTACCATCACCTCTCTAAGGAGTCTCTTCAGAAATACCACCATTGTACTATTTTGTCATTAGTGTTTTCTTTTTCTTTTTCTGTGCCATTATGGGTAGAGTGCCAAACCTGATATAGTTTTTGTGTGTATGTTATAGTGAATAGCTATTTTTTTATAGGTGAAATGTAGGAAAATTTTCTATGTTCCACCTGTTCCTTGGGAGACATTGCATGAGAAGACCTATCTGGTTATGTCAGTTGGCAAAAATACTTCAAATATTTGGATTTTTTGAAATTTGTCAGGTATAGTGTCAGAGACACTCCTTTATTCACCAAGTCATCTCATCATTCATTAAGTCAATTTTGCATTTATTTGGATTCCATATGCTGTAATAATTTGAGAATCCTATATTTCCCACCTGGATTGTTTACGGATTATATGTCAACAGATATTTTGGAGAAGAAGCAAATACAAGAGATTAAGGTCATTTTTATCTTTATTTATTCTTAGTAGTTAAATTCAGTCTAATGTCAGTGTTTCCATTTACTCACTACACGCAAAGCCAATCTATCACTCACTTACATCATTGGATAAATTTTATTTTTTTGGCGGATCTCTTCTGTTCAGTCTTGAGGGAAAGAGATTACTCATACTTTTTTGTTGTTGTTATTTTTATGAATTGAAAAAGTAAATGTTGAAAGGGAACATTGAAGCTGACCCAGTACCATCATTAATTCTTTGGCAGTAACTTTATAAACTCCCCTCAGACACTTCTCTTATCACTCCTGGCTTCACAATCATAGAATCTGAAATCACCAACCATTGCATGTCAACTATAACCAGTATAGAATATTCTAGCTACAAATAATGTGAAACTGTGACTTATATGTGGGTCAAAGAGGTTTCAGAATCCCCCCCTTACTAGATAAGATAAATGATTACATTAGCATTTCTCTTTAATACTATTTTCAACTCATTTGAAACTATTTGCAGATAGAAATAGAACTATTTTGAATGCTGATCTCAATATGAAATATAGAATCCACAGAATACACAAAAGTATTGATGATATAACATTCAATAATCAGGATGCTATGAATTTTACATTAAAATTCAATTATGTAGTAAAAAATAGAGTTGTTATAGCTAGAAAAAAATATTTTCAGAGGCAGCAGATACCCTTGGTGGAAATGAACAGTTCTACATAGAAAGAAATCCAGGAAGTATGCAAACTGACACCAGATACTCAGTATATTAAATTTAATCAGTTTACACACAATATGACATAAAGAGCAGTTTACTAGAATAATTATATCTGAAACACATGAAAATAGTTTAGAAAATGGATTAAGGTCATATTCTTAAACAGTAGACTTGTTGGAAACAGAATCAGATTTATGTGTTATCTGGCACTACCTTGCCTTGCCACCAAATCAACTTAAGCCAAGCAGTAAACATTTTGTTGATTAATAAACTAAATCCCTAGTGATACTCTTAACTTCATAAAGACATACTAATTGTTTATTGTAATTTGGTGAGTATTTTAGTAGTCAAAGAACATTCCTCTTAACAGTTGGAAATACAGCTTAGAAATATTTTGTGGAACAGTCCTGTGATTGTCTAAAATAAAAATGCTTGACTTGCCATGTATAATTTCATATTTAGAGACAAATGTGCATTTACACATCAGAGACTAAAATTTTAGAGATTAATCTTGGTGGAATATTTAGGGAAATCTTAACATCCAGCTGTATTTAGGAAAGCAAGGATATGTTAGACTATTTTTTTAATTGGGTTACTGATTGACCTAAGCATAGGCTCTCTTCTTATCAATCATAGAATTACAAAAACTGTATATTACAAACAGTATAGAAACAAGCAGAAAAGAATGTGCCACACATCCTGGATAGTTATCTATATGCAGTGAAATTTACAGATATAAAAGAAAATACAGCCTACTCCTTTATAGTGCACAGTTATTTTTTAGATACAATGTATCGCTAGCAAGTGGTTGTAGCCACCAACTCTAGTTGTCCCCAGCAGAGAGAATAAGAGCAAGATCTGTTCGGTACAGCTTCCCTCCATCTGACAAAGCCATTATGCTTTTCTTGTATGTTGGAATATTATTAATGTCCAGATCCTGTATAGAACATAGATGGCATCGTAATCCAGTTAAATATGAAAGTTAATTAACTACAGTCAAGTGAGAAAATGTGATTTGAAAACTGCTTGTTACATCAATCCTATAAGAGCTACATTAAATTCCCATATAAATGTGAATAATCACAAGGTTGTTTTTAAAATGTATTATTCACAATTACACTGATTTAGGCCAGAATCAAATTGAGTTAAGAAGTGAAGTCTACTTCTGCTCCTCTATAAATTTTTAAGGTACATTTACAAAATGGAAGTGTAGTTGCTTTTGGATGGATTCAATAGAATCAATTAAAGAAATAAGTGGCATAGTAATAACTAAATTACCTGTTTATTTTTCTCACACAGATCTTTCAGTAAAGCATCCAGTTCATTTTCATCTATGTATCCATTGCCATCCTGGGGGGAAGGATAAATAAAAAACAGTGCACAATTAATTCCATCCCCAGTAGAAGGCAATGAAGTAAAATGGAAATAATTGGAATCCTCAGATAATCTGCCAGTTGCCTACTTATATTCTAACCTGTTACATCAGGCCTTGAACATTTTTAACCACTCTGACATTGCAAAATAGGTGAGTTGCCTTGCAAGATACCTTGAACTATTCAAAGTGCCTTCACATTTACTCTTTCACTTGATGTCAACAATATCATCATAAATATAAGTAGTCATTAATATATCCATATGACAAGTGAAGACACTGAGGCCTGGAGAAGCTATGTCGGTGGTCTGATGTCATACCAGGAGATGGTAGTTGTTCTAGAACCCAGGCACAGGAGCAGAGAAACTAGAGGAATAAGCTGAAGACATGAATTGATGACATCACAAACTGCCTTTCTGCACATATGGGTATTACCATCGACTGCATGGGAGGCTTCTGAGGGATGTTGTTCCCTAGCTTCATCCTTATTCAACCCTGCAAGTCAGCATAACTATTATCACTTGTCTAAAAATGAGAAAATGGAGGCTCAGAGGATTTGGGTCTTTTATTTAAAATCTCATGGCAGACAATCCTAAGGTGGGGTTGGAATCAAGGTTTGTGCAATGTGGGATATGCCATCATACGCTTCTATGAGAAGAATGCATTGGTTGTACAATTTTCACCGTCTCTCTCTATTAATATGAACCTTGAGTTTGAGGTTTTTGCTCTCCCTTAGTGAACATTTTCCAAATTCTCAAGAATCAAATTATAGATAAAAGCAAACTCTTAAGGCATCCAAATCAAAAAGGAAGAAGTAAAATTGTCCCTGTTTTCAGATAATATGAATTTTACATTTAGAAAACTCTAAAGACTCCAGTAAAAGCTTAGGCATTTAATAAATTTAGTAAAGTTATAGGATATAAAAGTCACATCCAAAAATCAGTTTTATTTTCACATACTAACAAAAAATTGTCTGAAAAGGATTAGAAAATCCCACTTAGCAATAGTACCAAAAATGACGAATATACTTAGGAGTAAACTAAGAAATGAAAGACTTGTACACTGAAAACTACAAAATATTAATGAAAGAATGAAAAACACAGGCATATAGATACCCTGTACTATGGGCTGGAAGGCTTACTGTTAAAATGTTCATGCTACTCAAAGAAATCCATAGATTGAATGCAATCCCCTTCCAAATTCCAATACCTTTTTTTTTCTTTGCCAAATTATAAAACTAAAATTCACATGGAATCACAAAAACCCCAAAGCCAAAACATTTTTTTAAAAGAATGAAGCAAGAGGCATTATGCTTCCTATTATCAAAGTATGTGACCAGGACTGGGGTTGTAGCTCAGTGGTAGAGTGCTTGCCTAGCATGTGTGAGGCACCACTGGGTTTGATCCTCAGCACCACATATAAATAAATGAATGAATAAAGGTATTGTGTCCATCTACAACTAAAAAAAAATTTTAAAAAAGTAGGTGACCAAACTACATTAATTAAAATGATATAAAAGACCACCACAATCTGTAAAAATAGTAATAAAGACAGAAACAGACCAATGGAACAGAAATCTTTCCATATGTAGTCAATTGATCTTTGATAAGGATGCTGAGAATACACAATGGGGCAAAGATAGTTTCTTCAACAAATGGTGGGAAAATTATATTATTCATATGAAAAGAATAAAATGGGATCCTTATACTATATAAAAAAATCAACCCACAATTAATAAAAACTTATGACTGGAAGCTGTAAAACTCCAAGAAGAAAACAGGTAAAATCTTTATGATATTGTTCTTAGCTGTGATTTCATGGATCTGAGCCCATCTGCACAGGCAGCAAAGGCAAAAATAGTGGAACTATATCAAATCAAAGACTTCTGCATTGCAAACAAAACATCAGCAGAATGAAAAAGAAACCTACAGGATAGAAGAAAATATTTGCAAACTGTCAGAAAAGGTGTTAATTTCCTTTAATGTAAAGAATAAAATATTTAAATATATAAGGAGATCCTGCAACTCCTAAACCAAAACCTAATAATAATTAGATTAAAACATGGGCTAAAGATTTTAATAGATGTTTCTCTGAAGAAGACATAAATGGCCAGCAAGTTTATGGAAAGACATTCAATGTCACTAATCATTAATAAATGCAAATTGAAACCACAATGAGATATCACCTTACACCAGTTAGAATGGCTATGATCAAACAAGCAAAAGGAAAAAAAAAGTATTGGTAAGGATGTGAAGAAATCAGTACCCTTGTACACTGTTGGCAGGAATGTAAAATTGTGTAGCTACTGTGGAAAACAGTACAAAGGTGCCTCAAAAAATTAAAAACAGAATGACTATATAATCAGCAATGCCAGTTCTGAGTATTTATCCAAAGATCAGGATCATGAAGAGATCTGGTTGTGGAGACAACCAGAAAGTCCTTTGATGCATGAAATGACAAATTTTTTTTGTGTATGTGTTTAGATAGGTCTAGATATATAATAGAATATTATTCAGCCTTTAAAGAAAACATCCTACAATATATTGCAACATAGATGAATCTTGAGAACATGATGCTAAGTGTTAAACAAACCAGTTCCAGGAGAGTAAACACTGCTTGATATATCTAAAAGAGTCAGACTCACAGAAACAAAGTAGAACAGTTGTTTTCAGGGCTGGAAAAAGGGGAGATGGAGAGTCACTAACCATTGGGATTAAATTCTCAATTATGAAACAAATAAATTTTAAAGATTTGCTATATAATATTGTTTCTATAGTTAGTGATACTGTATTTCCTACTTTATATTTTAAAAGGGTAGATCTTATGCTAAATATTACGACAATAAAAAAGAACAAACATTTACCTGATCATATAACTCAAAAGCCTTATTGAACTCTTTCCCACACATTTTGACTCCCTAGGAGACAGAGCAAAGGTTAAAACACAGTCACTGTATTTTAGTATATTTCTCTTGACAAATCTCCCATATTCTAACTAGTCAAGGAAAGTATTTTGCACCATAGAGGAAAAGTTAAATACCTGAAATTTAAGAAGAAAATTCTCCTGCACTGGTAATAACCTTTTGAAAGAAAAACATTATATTAATAGATTAGACTTTTGGATAAGGACCAGTTTATTCTAATAACATTTCCATAGTTCCTAAACTCACCTGGCCATCTCAGTCAATTCCAGCTTCCCATCATTATTCGAGTCAAATAGTTTCAGCTGAAAGACAAAATTTGTTTTTTTGTTTCCAAAGACAAATATCATGGAGGAATGATTTATTGAATAAAGATGAACATTCAAAATCAAGCAGCTTGAATTATCCATAAGACAAAATATCAGAAATGATCATTTTTTAAACTTTTTTTTTTTGAGGGAGGGTGTTACTGAGGATTGAACTCAGGGGCACTCAACCATCAAGCCACATCACCAACCCTTTTTTGTATTTTGTTTAGAGACAGGTCTCACTTAGTTGCTTAGTGCCCCTCTATTACCGAGGCTGACTTTGAATTCTCGGTCCTCCTAAGACTTTGAATTCTATAACTTGTGTCAATTGCCAAAGTTCATTAGAGCAATATAGAATAGTCAGAGTAACCATGATCTTAGCTAGGTTTCTAGAATATTATAATTCATTTTTCTTGCATATGTTTTTATGTATATAAAGAGGTGAGAGGGGTGGTGCCTGGCAATAAGTGGAACTTCCTGAATCTTCCAAATGATTGTAGGAAAATAAATGTTTAATTCATTTTACCCTTTTAGAGCACAAAATGGTACAAACAAAAGCAATAGGCAGATAACATGAGAGAACAGAAGTCTTGAATAATTTTGAATCCTTTTACTTTCCACAGGGTACTAGACAGTCAATAAGCGCCATAGCTCTCCATTATATATAATTATGCCCTTGTCACACCCTGAGACATGTCCTGGCATAAACACACTCATTCATATATTTAGGGGAAGCATTTTCATTTTTAGAAAATAACAACTATTGTTACTATATCGAACTGATATATGTGAAATAAAATACATGAAATATGTTTACTAAATGAATGCTAAGTATGTAAACAAGTAGCCTTATTTTTGTTTTCAAAGGAAGGGTTGTGATCAGGTTATAATGGACCTAGGTTTAATGAGATCTTTTAAAGGAGAAAGGAAGGGCATTCTGTGGTTTGAGATGTTCTCGGAATTCTTTGTAGGAACAGAATTTTCATTGTCCTGTGTTGACCTATAACATTAACCATAAATTCTAGTATTGTCACACTGTCTACCAAGATACTGGACAACTAGATCACACAGTTTAGAACCCATAGGGAAATATTTCCCCACCTATATATTTAAATTTTAATTAGTTCTTGATTAATTTGCTTCCTGGATTTGAACTGGTTTATGACATTTAATCAGATATACCAGGCCAATCCAACAGGGGGAAACTCCCATCAGAGTAGTTTTTGAAAGGCTGCTTCAAATTTCTACCTGGAAAGAAGACTACTTTAAATAGACATCCTTTAATATTGGAGCAGCATAGAAAATTAATAAATGTAGGTTATTGTCCATTTCACAAGACATGAGTGAGGCCTTAGATCTTCCCATTGTGGCACATGGCAAGAAATCCCAATTGTTTGCTAATATGCTATTGTAAATGGAAATGTAATTAGGAATTAAAGAGAACCACACACACAAAACTTTTTGATTATTTTAAAACTAAAGATTAGTCCCACTTTATAATAAATGTAAGTTTAGTGAATAAGCCAACAACAACATTCTATAACTTTGTCTTTGTTTTTCTAGATAAAGTAGGCTGAAAGCAAACCTCAGCTGCTACATCAAATATATCAAACCTATTTTACAAGATTGTTTTTCAGGGTAACCAGAGGTTTGAAGTTGCTCATCAATTTAATGTAGTATGACAACTTTAATAGTATACAGTATATTTTTATAGGTTATTTATTTAAATCATGGCATAAGAACTCAAAAGTACCTTCACAATACTTAGAACACTTGTAAATGTATGTGTATCCTGGAAGTCCCAATCCTATCACAAATTAAAAGGAGCAAGCTTCACCTATCTGAGACAAAGTAACTTCATGAACACTGTTTTATTTAGTCTAGAATCTCATTAATTACTTTTTTCCTCAAACTTTAGGGGCCTATGTATAAGAGGTTTTCTTGGTTCAATTATTCATATTCTATAATAGATCTTGCTTATACTACTTACCAAAGCAATGAACTCAGGGTGTATTTGGATTTCTTTATCTATAGCATTGATGCAATACCCAAAAATAACAATCAAAAGAAAAGTGATCAATTTTAAGTGGCTTAATGAATTAAGTAAACTAGAAGTTCTCTTAAAACTCTAAAAAGTTCAATTTTATAAGCTGTAATAAAAATGGATTCAGAACCTCTATAATAGAATTTGGGGTGATGTGATTTATAATTTATATATACATATATAACATATACATGTTATATAATTGGGTGATATAGTCATGTGAACTTTGTAAGAAAAACAAATCATCTTTTGAGAGAGAAAAATGATATAGCCTTACAAGAAAAAAAGTGTTCATACATTGATCCTTAAAGCCAATCCCTGTAGCATTCAACCTAAGATGGAAGCATCCTAAGTATTTCAGTTTTCAAAGGAAATGATGTGCATGTGGTGGTTTGTTTATTTCATTCTGTGTAGCCTGGAGAATTAGCAAGAACACAGTTGTACTTCATGAGCTCTTGGTTACCATCTTTTCCAGATCAGTCTTACCATTAGGTCCGTATACTCAGCTAGTTTTGTATCGTCAACTGTCTTGTTTGCTTTTTCTAGCAGGTCCTTTAGAAAGTTCTGTTAAGACAAAGAACACCCAGATAAATTTCATTGATAATATACTGTCTGCTTTTGTTTCAGCATTCCTTGAAATAGAACATACCAGGATTGCAAAGAAAGCTTCTTTTTGAGGGTAGAGGCAGGTGAAGAGAGAACCTTAGAAGCCAGACTGAACCACATGGTCCTTGTATCATTCCGTTGATGAAACTGCCTTTGATAGATTCAACATCTGCTTTTTATTGAGACCAGATCTGTTGCAGTCCTTAGCTATATCATGTATTGAGGATTTCAATTACAGTAGAATCTGGATTGTGAACTGTTAGGAATGTGAATTAAAACTAAAAGCCAGCCAACCTAAAGGATGCCTTTCTGCTTAGTGATATCTTCACAAGTACTCATGACTTTTTTTGTAAGAATTCTGAGGGCTTTTCTCTATACTTTTGTAAGATGTGAAAAATTACCAGCAAACCAGATGGAGTTCTACCTCTAATTTCAAATTCATGTTCTGCCCTCACAGGCTGTATCTACAGAGCAGTTTATAGCCATTATGAGGCTTGTTTCTCCAGAGGGCTTATTGGTTAGATTTCAGTCTTGATATAATTCAAAAAATCTTAGTCAACATGCTTCAGCTGAATGTACAAACTAAAACAGTTGGTCATAGATGATGGCATCTAATCCTTGAAGGTTATATGAATCATATTAAGAGATTAATGTGGGAAGGATGAATAAAGATGATTAACCATCAAGTTGAATCTTAGGGTGAGTTCATTATTTTTTTTAACAAATATAAGTCAAATAAAAGCTTTATAAAAGGCTTGCCATATAAATAACAATGTAAGTCCTTAAGCATATAAAGTCTTTCATTTTATCTTGTGTTAATCATTAGCAACTTTTTATTTGCTCAGGAAATGAATTAATGCAATATGGAAACTGAGTAGATCCTGTGCTGAGATATTATTGGAGAACTGGGTTTCTTTGACTCGGCAGTGGTTTATCTCCCTCCAAAATGAACAGTTCTGCTGGGCTGATTTGACTTCAGTCTCTTCTGGAAGGAAACCTTTTTCTTGGCTTGATAAATTTATTTTCATTTCAAACATTCTGTTTCACATTCAAAGAGAGGCATGGAAAATTTGCAGATATCTGGTGGGGGTGAATTTTATTTTTGAGACTTCTGAGGCTTTTGTCAGAGATTAATTGGGTTAAAAAGCCTCATCATAGACTAAAATGGTGGTCACAAAAATAGCCTGGGAGAAACCTTGGAACGCTAAGATTCAAAGTCATGTCTGAGAGCAAGCGATGTTTTACTCTATTATGGATCTTAAAATTAGCTTTCTTGAAAGATCCATTAAAAAAGAATGCCAACTTATCTTCAAAATTCCCCAGGGAGCAGGACTTCTATTTAGAATCTCTTTCTGAGAATAAAATTTAGAACAAAGAAGGAGACTTTCAGAATATTTTGAGGTCAGTATTGGAAATGCGCTAAGCTTTTCATTATGAACTGAGGTGATTTTTAAAAGAATTTTTTCAATCTAATGGAAAAAAGACACAATAGCTGCACTTATCACCTCGTGGGCTCCAGATTCAGAGCCCCAAGAGTGTAAAATACATCATTTTTCAGCAACTTCACATTTCTAGAGGTTACTGTTGAATATGGTTTGGCAATTTTGCAGTGGTACAAAGGTTCCAGTTCCATCTCTAAAATTATTTGTTCTTTAAACCCATGTTGAACTATGACTAGGAAACTATTTGATACTTGTATTTTCCCACATAGCATCAGCAGAAGTAGCTCAATGAATGAAGCTTGAAGGCATGTGGTTTTATAGGAAAAAGGCATTATTAATATTAGCAGATATGCTAGGTCCAAACCTGGGTTTCATTCCTAGGCAGCTGTGCAATCTTGAAAAATTGTCCAATTGCTCTGAACTTCAGTCTCTCTATATATCAGGAATAACGAATAAGAAAACTGCCTTGCAAGTTTTCTCTGAGGATTAAATGTTAAAATACATTTCAAGCACATAGTACTGTGCCTACCACATAGAAGGTGTATATTCAAGTGATCAGTAAATATTAACTTTGCTCCCCTTTCAGTCTCTCAGAATTAAGACTATAGAATCTTTCAGATCATAACATTCTAAGGTTGATTTGAGAAAATGTGATGAAAGATTTGTCCACATTTCTGAAAGGCTAGTAAATTGAGTTCTTGTATAATACGATTTATTATGTCTTACATTTCACAGAATCTTTCACATATGACATCTTATTTGAGCTTTGCAATACATCTGAGGGGAAGGTATTATTACCCCAATTTTAAAGATGAAAAACATTAGATAGAACCAGGGACCAATTTGCCCCAAGGTAAGACTTGATTTCAGATTTCTTTTCCATTATATCCAACTCCCACACCACCTCCTCAGTCCCTCTGTGGGATATGAATTGATAAATTCACTTTCAAAGTTGCAGTTTTCACAAGTTCAATTCTATTAGGATTTTGCTGATGTTGTTGTTGAGAGGCAGTAGGTTGTATGGAATGTCTATGGGCTTTGAAGGTAGACAAGTCTGGGTATAAACACTGCAGTCCTGTGTCTTTTTTCCATGTGGTCTGCAGTAGATCACTTCTTGGAAGCCTTTTGTAACTGTGGTAATATTAATCTTGAAACTCATGCAAAACTTAAATAAGACAATGTGTATAAACTAGTTGGCATTGAAATAGGTGTCCCGTAATTTGTCTTTGTCTTTCTTTTGAAATGGAAGTCTATTTATATAAGTGTTTATTTTATTAAATAAAATTTCCAAGTTCAATGGAAATGGGGTATCTTTTTCACCTTGTATATAGTTCTATCTGTCTGCCTTATATAATAATTTATGTACACCCCAGAAAATGCTAATTTCTCGCTTTGCTGAACAGAATTTCAAGAAGCACTTGAAGTCTCTTTTTTGATATGGTATTTCATTAATGATATGGAAGAGTGGGTGAAAATGTGCCATTGCTCAACATTGGTTTCTTTTGTGGGAGGTTTTTAAAAAAACCTATGAAGCCCTTAGCAATACATAATTGCATTTGAAAGGAAAAAGCTTAGCCTAAGGTTTGATTTGCTTACCTTAAGCTCCTCGGTTTCTATGAAGCCACTGTGATCAGTATCATATTTTCTCCATGTCTGTAATTTTGGATAAGAAAAACAAAATTAAAAGAAGAAAGTTGACAATTTTTGCACATTTAGCAGCTTTCTTAAAGTAACATCTTTCTTCTACCTTCATGAATTCCTCGCAGGACTTCAGCTGCTGGCATCGGAAGAGTAGCAGGAAATTTTCTTCTGTGGGTAATACATGAGCCAACTGGAAAACGATTTAAAAGAATAGAAACACTGTGGTAAAGAGCTTGAAACAAATCTCTGCTATCACCTGCTGCTTAGTTTTGCTTCAACATGTTCCTAAGAAGCAGTTTTTTTGCTTAGAGAAGCAGGAGAGGAAAAACATGAGCTGATGTGCTCTTTCTGGTATTCTGCTCCTTCAAACTTTATCGGGTTTTCTTGCTCATGTGTTCTTAAGTGCTTGGTTCTCCCGTCAGTGAAACAGCTGATGCAGGACCCTATCTTGTCTGTGCACCTACAAGCAGATTTACCCTGGCAGCTTGAACCCTTAGTATTCTGTGCCACAAACCAAGTCTCTTTCCTCTCCGGTTGCACAGATGGCACATTTGGCCATGAATTTCATGTGAAATGGAGGAAACAAGAATGTAGGGGAAAGGAGGGAATAAAAAAAAAGTGCATTTTCAAGTCAGAGGGAAACGTCTACTATGAGATGCAAGAGACAGTAAACTGAAGACAACTGTAAAGCTGCAGGAAGATAGGCTGAGAGACAATTCACAACAACTAGTGAGAAACCGAACAGTCATCAGATAAGTCAAGTTGTTGGGTTCTGTGAAAAGGACATCTGCTGCTTGAACCCAGGACTTAGGTTAATTTTTGATCTTTACTGTCTAAGTCTATGACATTTCCCCTAGATTTCTATTCATAGCTTCAATACTTCTCCTCCCCCCCTTTTTTTGGTGGGGGGAGAGGACTCTGGATCCCATTTTAAGACTAATATAATCCATCTATTGCATACAGAGAAGGAGGGAATTGGATTGATGGCCCCACTGCAGATGTGAATTCTATTTCTGGATTAACTGCTAATGAGCTGTGGTCCCAGCAACTCCCTCAGCCATTTCTGGACCTCTGTACCCTCCCTCATCACTAAAATAAGTTGAAGGAGAAATTAATGTCTCTTAAATGTACTGGGTTCAAAACACCTTCTGTTGGACTCATTGTGTCTTCAACATTAAAGAATGAACCTACATACACTATACTTCACCTAATTTTTAGAAGTTGATTAATTCCCTGGGGCACAGACATGAACCCCCATTCCTCCAGTGTAAAGCAAGAATCTGTAGTCTAGAGTAACTTTAAGGTTAGTATAAGTCCTAAAAATGCTACCATATTAGACTATCACACCTATTTTTTTAAAAGTGTCATCATCTTATGTTCGTTTAAAATTTAATTCAAAACAACATTTTAACTTAAATGCAAGCAATCTCATCTTCCTTATGCCTGCATAATATGTCCTGTAAATTATCTTGTTTTAGATCTTTGAAATAAGACCTCAAGTAAAAACTTTAGTTTTTGGTCATACATGTGGGAATAAGACTAAGAGAAAGGACCAAATATCTTATTAGGATGTTTAGCAAGACTCAGTCAGAAAACATCTTATTTTAAAGCAAAGGTCATGAGTGTGGGTAGATACTAATAAATCTAAAAGGTGGAAAAAGGAGATTAGGATTTGCAGTAATTTTTTTTAAACCTAGTGAGCTTTTTGTCCTAAAACACACATATCACTGGTGGATGTGTATATGTGTGTGTGTGTGTGTGCCTGTGTGTGTGTGAGAGAGATATCAAGAGAGATCCAGATCTCTTAATACATTCAGGACTCTTCTATGGCTTTTTATTTCTTTGAATTCTTAAATCATAGAATTATACAACTCAGAAATAATGCAATTCAATTTAATTTAAAGCCCCAATTTTTGAGTTGAGGATGCTAAAACCCAAGAGATTGAATAATTTGGTGATTGGCAGACTTTGAAAAATCATTTTAATTTGCTGCTTATTAGAAAGTTAAGTCAGCAGCATGCTTCTTAAAGACAGAAATAATATAGGTTGCTTCTTCAATCTTAGAATGCAAATAATATACTTGATGGCTAATTTTTACATGTGACAAGATAGTCTGGATATGATATGAATATGTTTTCATTCACTGAAAACTGGAACACTATTTTCCTTATAACGTCCCCTTTCCTCTTCTTCTGTGAGTGGGTTGCTAGTGGAAATTGAACCATCTCAGGTTCATAAATTAAAGTTCATGTAACTCATAGAAAGTTTAGAGGTCCTTAGAATGTCAAACATAAAGAGGGTCAAATTGTTTGTCATGTCTAAGGTCAATGTGTATTTCTTGGCTCATGCTGTTTTGTTCTTTAATGATTAAAAATTACAGATTGTATCTATATGTGACATATTCATTCTTTTTCATTTTGCTGAACTACTAATGATATACTCAACACAGTACTGTCCTATTTTACAAACATTGGAAATGAATCTTAAACATGTAAATTATTATTATAAGACAAACCAGTCGTTAAAAATCAATGAATATATATGGATAGGAAGAATGTGACTGTAGTGAACATAATTCCTTTTTATGGTGTGGTTTAACATTGTGGTGGTCCTGTGTTGTAATTGATCCTTCAGAGTAGGTAGAGTAATTTTCCAGCTGCAACATCTAAGACCACATCAATAGTGTGTCAATGGGTCTTCATAGACTGTATTAAGTAGGGCTGCATTATTCTTAGATTTGCCATGTCACTGTTGTCCATAGGAGTACCCAGTACTGCCTATTCCAAAATGCTGGTGATTTCTTAGTCCTTAGCCATCCCCAAACTTGTTTTATTGGTTGCAGAAGATAGTGGAAAATATCAAGAGGATGAATGGGAAGAGGATCCCTATAGACACAAACAGAATCCCTCAGATCTTCACTTGTTAGAATTCATTGTCTGCTACTGAGATGGGGGAAGTAAAACTTTCTATTTGCCTATGTTTTACTTACTGAGTTTTTTTGCTCAGCAACTGCACAAATTTTAGTAAATATTTATTGATGCAATGAATGAAGGCAATTGACTTTTTCTAGTGTCAGGATAGGCTATAAGTAAATGGAAGTAAAATTCCACTGGAGATAATTCAAATAACTTATTATTGAGCTGTGGGTAAGGGTTGGAGTAGACTTTATGATATGCTACCCAGAGCTCCTTCAGGTTCTGGAGTATGCTGTGACCTCAGCTGTCAGGCCCCTTTGAGGAATTGCCTGGGCTGACGACAGTTGTGACCCCAAGAGGTGGCTTCCCATTACAAACCCACACGGGAATATAAAGGCCTGAATTTCTCATTCAACTTGGGAAATCTCTGAAAGGTCACCCCTGCTTCAGGGCTCACTGTAAGGTTAGCCAAAGCCTCCGTTAGGATGTCATTTCCCAGCATCTGCTTTTGTCCAGTCCTGTTCTCTTCGTGGCTTTATGCAGGAAATGATCTCAAAGCACTTCCTAAACACCCTCTTCAATATTACTCTCCCACTCAAAACTGCTTCCCAGGAAACTCAATAACTTTACATCTTGTTCTTTTTCTGGAATAGTATGGAGCCCTTGTCTTAAGTTTTGGAGTTGATGTAAATCTCTGTGGTTCATTTGGCTACTAAACACTAGGTCACTCTGTTACTAGCTGGTGATTCATAGTCACCACTAGTAAGAATCTTACAGGGAGACAGATGATTTCAACCAAATATTTTTTTCTTGACAATTTCAAGCAGGAGATAGATATAGTGATAAAGTTAAGTGCTAGGTGTGAGAAGAGTTCACATGATGGGAATTTCATTAGAGATATAAATGACTGAGATACATAAAGTATATGAAGCACAATTCCTAACTTCCAAAGACAATCCTGGTGTATGTTCACCTTCTTGAGCCCATTAGCCACGCATTCCCTTTTTCATTTGAGAAGGAGGGTAACATTATCCTAGCCAATAAGAAGTGAGTTCAGAAAACTTGCAAGGCAAATGATCTCATACATTTCAGGCTACTTGAGTCTAATGATTTGAATTTGACAAGTTATGTAACAAGTGGTGGGAAAGACTTGATATTCAGAATATGTAAATTTTATAATAAGGTTTTTTTACATTTAATAATAATAACAAACATTTATTAAGTTTTTACAGTGGGCCAGGATTGATCTATTTGTTTGATGTATATTATCAGATTTAATGTTAATACTCAAAACAACTTTATGAAATTAATACATAGTTCTCTCTATTTAGAGCTCAGAAAATAGAGGCTCAGAGAGGGTAAACAGCCTGTTTACTTAGCTTGTAGTTTGATCCACATTTGAAGTCAGTCAGTTTGATTTTCTTGATATTGAGATCCTTGTCCCTTACAAGCTTCCTTATCCTCCATTTCAATGTTGAACCAAAAATGTTTTCCTAATAAATTATTTTAAAAAATCTATTCAGAGCAAAATTTTGAGTCAAATTTTATTGTCAGTCATTTACAAAAATTATAAGGTGGATAGATAAGTAGTCTGCCATGAAATACTATATTCATCCTGCCTAAACTTATATGCACAAATCCCACTGTGGAAAGAAAGAAAAAATTGGCAAGAGAAGTGCCTGTTTTCCTGGGAGGGTTGTTACACTTTTAGGATTAAAATAGCTTTTAGATCTATTTTTTTCAGTGGATGCACTGACCTGAACAGATAAAAATACTAAGACTGGAGAAGATGGTAGGGTCCCATACATTGCCCAAGGGATCAGAAAAAAGCTTACAGATATGACATCCAGCTAAAGAAAATAAGTATACTTGTGTGAATCCCAGAAAAGAAAATTCCATCCCCTGCAAATCATTCAGTCTCCTTATTTAATTATTTTAATTAGACTTCTTTGCAATAGACTTACTAGTTTACATACACTTAGAACATTTTTTAATTGTGGTATTTGTTAAATTATTTCAGAATTTTAATGCTTCTGTTTTGAATTCACATTAAAAATCTTGTTATTACTGAACTGAATTTGTATGAATTTTAAAATCCATTTAAATACATGAAATTATTCATGTATTCATGTTCAGAAAAAAGTCATATGTGCACATTACTTTTCACACATTACATTTGGAAAGATGGGGGATTCATGTTCTTTTAAAATTGGTTAGGATTTGTGTCTTTGTGTTCCATATTACATGTAGGATTTCTAAGCAAGTAATATATTTGGAGTTGGATAAAGAAAGGATGAGCATCATTTAACACAACTTTCTGGTGACACCAGCGGTCACACAGTAAGTTCAGGCATTCTCTGCTTTCTTTTCCTCACTTTATTCACGTTATCTGTAACTTTCAATTTCTTTTTTTCCAGCTTTTTTCCAAACTGCTCTTTACTGCTTGTTAATCTCTTTAAGCAATGTGCCTATGAACTACCATGGCAATCTCCTCCCTGTTCTCCCATTCCTTCATTTTCTCATCTCCAATGAATCCTACCCCTCCTGCTCCCACATCCACATTCCTCCTCTGTGTTTCACTGGTAACTCAAGTACATGAAAAGAATTGTGGGGTTAAAGTCAGATCTAGGTCTGGATACAGGTTTTGTCATTCCCTGTTAGTGGGCTGTTGGGCATATCATTTAACTTTCTGAGCTTCAATTGCTTCATTCTGAAAATGAGGAATTTGGCTATTTCTTCTCAAGGGTCCTATCTAGCAAAAAGTGCCATGTCCCAGACCACTAAAATCTTGTAACAAATTCTTACATGTCTCACTTCTCTTCTTTCAATTCTTTCTGTTTTAACTGATCTGCCCAAATCAAGTTTCAGATTCTTGGGCCAAATAACGTCTCTATATAGTCCCTGATTCAGGATGGTTCAACTTAACAATTTTTCAACTTTACAATGGTGCAAAAGCAGTATACATTCAGTAAAAATTGTACATCAAAATCTCAGCTTTGAGTTGTGCTTATTATTATTTTTTGACAATATGTCAAATATGACAATATGTCAAAACACATTCTACTGTCGTGTACAACTAATTAGAACAAATGAAAAAATTCCATCACTCTGGAAAAAAATTAACTTTTATATTTTCCTGGAATAAAAATATACAGTAGAATATTCTCTTTAAAACTGGGCAGTAGCAGCAAGCTGCATCTCTCTGTCAGCCACAGTCATGAGAGTCTGCAACTCTATTCCACAATGTTCTCTGTTGCTAAGCTATGATGTTCTGTAGGCAAAGTGTATTAATAATGCATTTTTTACTTATGCTGCTTTCAGCTTCCAATGGGTTTAATCAAGATGTAACCCCAATGTGAAAAAAAAGGAATTTTAATTTGTGTCACATTATACAATTTATAAAGTTTTCAAATTCGTTCTTTTATTTGACCTCATAACAATAAAATAAAGTCTAAATGTAATAGGAGGATCTATTTTTTAGCCTGGGAACCCAAACTTGAATAGTTTGTTATCTTAATCTTTTGGAGAAATATATCACCAAATGTCCAAGACAATTTGCTTCTGCTAAGTGACCTCTTGCTTCTCATTCACAATAGAATTAAAATAATAAGGCATAAATGGTTAAACTACATCACAAATACTAACAGCTGGATTCAAAACAAATCATTCATTTTTTCATTTTAAAAGTATAAAATTCATGTGAATAAGATTCATGTTTTTTTACTATACAACCTAGCACAACCAAAGAAGTGAGAGAGAATAAATAGATAGATCCACTGAAGTCCTTCAAGGTGTAACACATAGCATATAAGATGACAGTCTTCCCTCTACTACAATTATACAGTATGCCAAATTCTGAAATAACCAATCTAGACTTTCACTGATGTCAGATTCTGAAAGCTAGTTTTGAATAATATGATTTACCTCATCTCATTTGTGTTCATTTTAAAGTTATTTTATTATTCTTGATGATTTTATATCTTGATTAATTGGCCTCTATCTCAATCTGTAAGTCTCATTACTAATATCTATTTATATAGTAATGAGTTATACATAGGCAAAGGGAAAAGGGTATACTCCAGGGAAATTTTTTAATTGCAAAGATAATAATAGTATGCCCTCCCTTATCTCTATTTGTAGTAGCTGTTTAAAATTAAGTGTATTTCACACCAGCACCACAGTGTCCTAATAAGATCAATTATTTGAAAACCAGGTTAGTTCTCTGAATCAAAGGTAAGTTATAACTAAAAGTTGTTGAAAGTCAGAACACCTGTCAATCTAATGCACTGAGAACACTCTATGAAAGCATTATTATACTTGGGATTTGTCATAGTTTAAAATATGACCTTATTACTTTTTTTCTGGAAAAAACTTTCCATTCAACTAGTTTAAGCTTACAGAAATAGACAGAAGCTGCTGCACCACCAGTTTGGAAAAGTAGAAATAAGGTAAGCAACAATGTTCCCTCCCCCAACCCCATAAATCTGAGAATATAAAATGGATGCATGGTCAGTTTTGCTTCCTTGATTCACAAAGTAAGTTGTCCTCAACTGGAAAAGAAAGGATTTGACACAGTTTCAACTTTTAGAGACACAAAAGGAATATTTACCTATAACATAGAATAAAATGTTCACTTACTTTTTTTTCAGTTCTTGAGTTTTACTGAGGCCATCATCCAATCAAAAATAGAATTTCAGAAACCAGGATGCAGCTTTTTGCCACATTTTTATGGCAACTGCAAACATTTAATTTTAAATTTCAACAGAAACGTCTACACGGTTAAATGATCATATGTACCAATGAAGCAGTTGAAGTAAGGGCGGGTGGTGTTATATGATGAGCACTCACCCAGAAGTTGGGCACTCCTCTTCTAACTGCACTGGTGCCAGCAAACAGCTGCGTGACCAGATGCTAACCATTTCACTTCTTGAGGGTCTCAGCTTTACAATATATTATACTGAGGCTCTGGATTAGGTAACTCTTAGGTTTCTTTCCTTTCTAAATATTTTAAAATTTCATACGTTCTGAACAGAAGATTATATATTACTTAGGTAAAATAGTCTTCTCTGAATGAGTCTTGTCATATCATGTCTGACTTGAATATAACTTAAAAAAATGAAGCTCACTTATTAAATCAGAAAAAAATGCATATGTTCCTTACCTCTACAATTCCTATTTTTCCATCATCTCTTTGCGCATACTGATCCACAAAAGTTTTCATCTCAGGCGATAACTCCTAAAATGATATGAAAGCAGGTATGAAGTTTGTAAAATAAAACAAAACAATTATGCTTGTGATGGTGTTAATCTATTTTTATAAAAAGCCAAAATGGGAACCATTTAGAATTATGCATGTTGATAAATGATTGTCATGAAAATTAGATGTAATTAACATAGTATTTATTAGTTTCAAATTAAATATTTATGAAAATTTTTGTATCAGTCACTAGAATTTATCTTAAATTATTAGTTTTGAGAATATGCTATCCTTTGAAAATAATCAGAATTACTCATTATTATTAACTTTAGTTAATTTAAATAGAATGATAATTACTAATATACTTTAAATATTACTTGTTTCATTAAAGATTATTTTATATTCTGCACTATTTGTCCTATAACATTTTCCTTATGCTAGCATAATGTATTATGTATGGTAGAACTACGTGTTTTGGTTTGCATAAGCAAAAAAAAAAAAAAAAAAGTGAATGTTGAAGAGTAATTTACTTGGTGAGCAAGAAATGTTCCCAGAATGAAATAGCTATTTATTGATTAAATAAATTTAAAAATTAATATTGGGGGAAAAATTTGAGATGAAAAAAATGATTTGATCAATTTGAACTTTCATTAACAGACAGGCAATATTGATGACCTTATTTTGGTGAATTTATTTTAGACTGTGGATTGTATGCTTATGATATTTGCCTCCAACAGTAATTGAGGGAGAAGTTTTTAGTGTTTCCACTTCATCCAAGATGATATCCTCTTCCCCATGTATTGTAGTACAACAAAACAAGCTTAAGAGTGACAGAAGTTAATGCTGTCTTGTCGCTTTTTTCAATATAGTCTATTGCTTTTATAATCTCTTTTGATATTGAGAGATTAGAGAGTTCTGAACTAAAAGCTGTGATCTGAACATAGAGCTTTTATTCAGGAAGTTTCATTTTTTACCCTTGGGTTTCGACAAGCCCATTTAAAATAACCCTGTTGCATTAACTGAAGCCTATTTAAAATAGGTCAGCCCTTACTAATATTCTACATTCTTCTGAAAGCAAATTAAGGTCTCAATTTTCATCATAACTGACAACACAATGGTCACCTACCACACAGGTTTGTTCTAGGGATAGATAAGTTAATGTAATTTAAAGGCTATATTGAGACTAAATATTACTGCTTGTATTTACAAAATCCTTTTGATATCAATGCAAATATCTTTAGTTGAACTAAGGTAATAAATAGTAACAAAACAATTTAATTATATTGTAGTCTGATAAGAACTCTTCTACTGTGGGTAAATTACCGTTTGCATTTATTAAATTTTGTTAGAAGAACAACTACCAGAAAATAAAATGATATCCCCATGGCAACAGAGGAATACCAGTCCCTATATTTTTCACACAAATCTTAAAGTAAAACCAATGCATTCATTCTTAAATCTTACAAGTACATAAAACTACTAGTTTAACTGGAATACTTGATATTTAGTTGTGAAGTTTCTGGTGACAATTGTGTCAAAATCTATTTTTTAAACTGTAAAATATATAATGATCATTAAAGATTTATAAAGAGGAGTACAAATTTAAAGACAAAACAATATGTTTAGTGTAAAAGGTACAGTTCAGGAATATATTTGACTGCCATCTTTCATTTATGTTATATTCAGTTGGTAAAATTTTTGAAGTTTCTAGAAAAATACTCAAGAACCAAGGTATTAAATAAATTGATATAATCATTTACCTGTGCTCAAGTTGAATATTATTGAAATAAAATCTAATAATTGGATCGTCATACATTCCAGACTTAAGAGTATAGGCAGTAGAAAAAAATAATGAAGATATAAACTCTTTAAAACTCCAATATGAACATATTGTTTACAAAAAGGTTCAAATTTTAAAATGGGAGGAGGAAAGGAAACATTGGAAAAACCGTACAAAGCTCTTGAATATTTGAATATCTAAGATGAAAATAAATTTCAGTATTGAAACTACTTCTGGAAAAATTATAGTCATTTAGTTGTTGGAAGCATCTTTCAAAATTTTAATTCAAAATTTTATGAAAAGTAAGACTTTTTCAACCAGGAATTTCCCCCCCCCCCTCTCCCCACTACCCTCTTTTTCTCTATATATATATTTTAAATATATATTATTAAATAAGGACGATAAGGGCTTTTACTGGCCAAAGATTCATAGAGCTATAATGATAGGATTGTATGAATTTATTTACATAGTAATGAATAAGGTGGGAGGAGGGTAAAAGTATATGAAATTTTTAATTTGATCTCATTCTATTATACTTTTAAAAGATTTGCATTATATTAAATCTGTATAAAACAATGTCTAGAACAAGATCTGGTTTAAAATCAATTTGGCCAATGATTTTAGTAACCCACAGTTTCGTAATACCCCACAATACACTTTAGAGCCTTCTGGAATTCTTTTAAATATGTTGTACAGAGAGGTGTAATATACACTTTAGATAGAACAAAAAGATAATTCCCTTAGTAAATTTTATATATATATATATATATATATATATATGTGTGTGTGTGTGTGTGTGTGTGTGTGTGTATGTACATATTACTCAATCCTAAAGCTGTTGATCTTCTATATAATATACAGAGATGACATGTACAACATTTATAATGTAAAAATTTATTTCTAATCATAGTAAAAAGGCCAAAGATCATTGATATCCAATTAGATACCCAACACTACCTTCTGAATGACAGTCTTACATAAACCCCAATATATTGGTTGAAATTCTCAGCCCATTTTTCTCTATACAACCATCTCATATGGTTAAAAGTTGGGTATATTTTATTTTTATGTTGGCAATCTTAACAGATTGATTTATATCCAAATGATATTTATAATTAGTAAGAAATGTCATTTGTTTAATTACCTAATGGCTTAAACTACAAACAGCTTCTTTCAAAACATCATTAATTGCTTCCAATTAGAATCTCTCTCTCTCTCTCTCTTTTTTTGTAAGAATATATTGAATTCTTAAAATTGTTTTACATTTTATTTCTCTAGCTTTTGGAATTCTTCTCTTTAACAAAAATGAAGACATTTCTTTGCTAAATTCTTGTGCATTATTATTTTAGCAACTGACCAACTTTCCCCAGTAAAGGGGTCAAGACAGGATGCTTTCTCGGCTCCCCAACTACATTAACATCACAACAATAACTGGCATTAGAAGAGATCCATAATCTGCAGATCTGTTTCCTGACCACCAAGGGGCAGAAATGTATTTCTACCCCCTTCTCTCAGCAAGGAAGAGAGAAGTTAAAAATTACCCAACAGAATTCAATGACAGAAGTGGTGGTCTGCTAAAGGTTCTCACATATCCACCTTTCTTTTTCAGACCTGTTGAAGCAGGCACAAGTATAGAATATCTATATTGAAAGCTCTGATTTAAGACTGTAAGGTTTTTCCTCCCTCTTTCCCTCTCCTTCTCCCCACTACCCTCTTTTTCTCTCTAAGCAATTTGAAAGCTGTTCTCGCCTTTCTCATTCAAAAGATGTTTACATTTCCCGGGAAAGTCCTTGACCCCCTGATGACTTATGAAAACACAAGAATATTCATGTTTTAGGGTTGAAGGTCTTTTTCCTCCTTCACAAACTCTAACCTACCAATCCAGCCTTCTTCCGCGCCTGCTGGAGCTCCTGGATCAAGTTCTGCAGCTCAGTTCCTTCCAGGTAACCACTTCCTGCAAAGACAAAGAGGGGCCCAGGTGTCAGATGCCTCACTCCAAGTTTTCTTCTGCGTCCTCTTTCCATGACAGCTATCTTTGTGGCAACCTAAGAGGCTCCCTGGCCTCCACATTAACTAACCAGCCAAGGGTACAGCCACGGCAGCTCCCCGCTTCTGAGGTGTCAAACTTAAGTTGCACTAAGGACAAAGGTGGCTAGTAGGATGCTGAACACAGCCACAGAAAACTTTGGGGGGGGGGGGCAGGGTTCCCCAATCCCTGCTCTTTTTTTCTCTCTCTCCTACCGTTATCGTTCCTAGAAAGAGGAAAGTTTAAGGTTTGAGCATTACACACAAGCAATATAAACTTTCACATTGAAGGATTGGCAGCAGGTACGGGAGATAAAATTAAACAGAGTGGGGGGAGAAGTAAAGAATAGGAAAAAAAAATGACGACGGGATCAGGAGGCTCTGGGAAGTGCAAAGAAAGGCTCGGTGGCTAGGGTTAGGGGAAGGGGTCTTGAAACAGTTAAAAAGATAATAATTACCGTCAGTGTCGAAATGAAGCCAGATCTCGAAAAACTGTGAGGCTGTGATCAGGGATGATTGCAGGTGGGATTCTGCCATTGTACAGAGGGGTAGGTGTCGGTGCGTGTGAGTGTCCGTGCGAGAGTGGGGCGAGCAAGAACCTCGAGGTGCCCGTCAGGGCTGGGGAGCAGGACTTGGGAGCGGGCGCTGCCGGGCGCTGTCCTCGGTGCTGCTCAGCTCAGGCGTTCCTCCGGAGTTCTCTCTCCGCACCCAGCACCCAGTTCGCAGTATTTATCCCAACCGCCCCAAGCTGGGCCACGCCTCCTCCTGCCTCCCAGGCCTCGCACTCCCCGCCTCTTGCTCTCATCAACCTTCTTCCCCTCCCTTCCAGTTTTCTCCTCTCTTCCCCGGAAGGCTAGCTGGAGCAGGAGTTTTGGAGTCTAGAGAGCAGCAGGTGGTGGGAGATCTTTGCTTAAAGATTGGATGTTGAAAACAGAGATTCATTTTCCCTCACATTTTCTTAGTCTAGGGAGAAACTTATCCCGGAATATCATAGCAAAAGAACACATTTGGAAAGGGTTTGATTTTCAGATGGAAGGGGAAAGCCAATGAAGGGCAAAACCATATAAATGATTTTATTTGCATGCGGTTTCTTCAAGACTTTTTGGTGTTTGTTTGAACAAAATCAGGTGGAAGCTTGGCAAGTCCTAAATTAATTGGATTCATGTATACAATGAATTGGCTGATACTGATAATCATTCTGTTTTGTGCTTGTGAAGATTATCATATCATATGGTTTATATGAACTAGCCTTACCAAAATGAGAAAGCAGGACTATGGCTTGTTTGTTTTTTCAGCTTGAAGTAGAATTATAATTGGAAAGCAATTGAATTGAATTATAGAATTTTAAGATGTTAGAAAAAAGAAGTAATCTTAGAGATACTATAATTTATTGCTGTGAAGTTTATAAAGAATAAACCAAAATTAAGGAAAGGAAGTATCTGGTCATTAGGTAAATTGTGACCTAGACACAGCCACATTCATTGACCTTAATATATGTACTCCTCCTTATTTCTATCTCAGGTGGAGAATTCTTCAGAAACTGAAGATCACTAGAATTGGGAAAAAACCCACCTAACTAAACCTCATGTTATATTATGCATATTTGTATATTTGTTACATTTCAATATAACAAATGCTAATTTAAATTATTTATTTATACAAATACTTCTAATGAATATGGTTTTCAATCTTGTGAGATCTTTGGGTCTGCTAAAAATGTGTTCCAAGTGTCTTATTACAATGATACAAAACAAAATAAAGAATCAAAAGAAAATTCAAACATAGCCAACTTAAAACTAAAGTGGACTGGATAAGCCTTATATTTTTAAATTTATGTAATTTATGTTTCTGACACTACAGCTCTATCCTGTGGTGGATTTGTAAGACTTTTTATGAGTCTCATTTGCAGAGACCCATCCATTCAAAGCTGGCCTATTTCGATTATATTCTCAATGGAGTCCTCATTGTGACAATACTTTGCAGTTCATAAATTATTTTCACTTCAGTTACCTTATCTGATTCTCATATATAGTCTCTGAGTTGATGTTACACAAGAGATAAACTAGAATTTGAGATGTTAATAACCTAATATTCTTTGGCTTAAAAAATAATTTAATGTCATTTTTTTGCACTTTCAATCATTCAATGAACAATTATTATGTCAAGTGTTCTACCAAGACACTGGAAATAATAAGAGACATGGCTCCTGACATTTTGAAGCTTAGACTTATGAGGATGTAGCCACATAGGCACAAAAGACAGTATGTATTGATATAAAGGAAACATGCGCAGGCAACTATATGTGCATTAACCTCAGTTTTCGGCATCTGTGAGAGTTGAAGCTTAAGTAACCTCTGAAGTTTTCTCATAGAGAAAACTTTATTTTATGGTAGGCACTTTGGGTAAAAAGAGAAGTGGTCATAGGAATGAAAGACCAACAGCTTGCGCATATTTATCCTAACTCCTAGAAAACTAATACTGAGAAAGGTCCTGTTTGTCCTTCTGTGGCCAGGGTCTTTGTATGAAACATGCTGTATGGGAACATGGAAGCCAATGCTACCACATAAACTTTGAAGAAAGGGCAAAAAAGCAGGGACTATAGAATGATTCCAGGGCACACTCTGATGCTTCCTAGTCCTGACCGATTTAATAGTATCTGGATTCTCAGACAAAAATGCCAGGAAAAAAAATAATAAAGGGACAGGGACTGAACAAACTGATGCAAAGAAAACTAGTATTTCTACTCCTTTTTATAATTATAATGAATTTTCTTCCAGAAAAAGAAAACAAAAGCACTTTCCCAAACTTTCTTATATGAAAAGCACTTTGATTTCACTTTCCTGAAACTACGACATTTCAGACTTTCTATGTAGGAAAGTTCAGGTGTTGTGACTTGAAGGGGAGGGTGGTTGGAAAGGAAAGGAAGACTTTCTTGGAGCTGTGTACAAATACCAAGCACATTCTTTCTGCTTCTTTTTATTGTTTATGTGGAGTGAGTTTTTGAGGAAACTAATGTGAATTGTGGAAATCAAAAGTCACCTTTAAATTGCTACTTACTGCTATTGCTACCCTGAGGAAATCAGTATTGAAAGCACCAGGCTAATACCAACATATAAATTCTCATATACAATTTTTTTTGTGTGTGTATGTTATTGTTATTGGCTTTAGGAAAAGGGAGTATGTTATGGATATTACCATGAGTTATTTTTAATTAGAGGACATCCCTCCAGTATTAAAATTAACATCAAATTTATACTTTTTAGAGTTGAGTGCTATTTTATTGATTAACCATAATTATATATATTCACCTTTTTCTAGTGTTTTGCTGTGACAAAAAATGCTGTAGCAAACATCTTTATACATTTATCATAGACACGTTTCTGATTATAAGAGAAACTCCTCAAAAATGGTATTGTTAGTTTAAAAGTATACATTCTAAATTTTCATGTACATTTCTAAATTATTTTTTGCAACTTGTAGCAACTCAACTCAAATAAACGAAGTGTAAGGATGGCTTAAATAAATGAAGTGTGAGGATGGCATACTCTCATGGCTATGGCTGTTGTTGCCTTGAAAACTTCCGTACTAATGTAATGGGCAAAAAAAATAGATGGTTATTCTTCCTTTAATTTGCATTCATTAGTAATTCTTAAAATTTGTCCTTTTTTAAAGGTAGAATTTTTATTGCTTAGATTTTTTTTAACAGCAGAAATGTAATTTATGAAAGAATGTTTTTTTTTTTTTTTCCCTTGGAATTGCTACTGGTCCCATACTGTCACCTCTTATCAATATCCCTTTTCATACTTGTATTTTGGGCCATTTCTAGATTAAATTCTACTTTAGGTTGCCAGTAAAGAAGCATATGTTCCATATCTATTGATCTGAAGTAACTTGAGAAATACTTCTCTCACCTGATCCTTTAATCCTTTAGTTCATTAACCAAGGTAGGAGAGACCTTACTTCTCACTGCTTAGGAATCCTTTTACGTCTAGAATTCTGGGAGAACTACAAATGCTTCTAATAATGACAAGATTTTTCCATTAGATTGGAGTTTCTAAAAACAACATTGCAAACACAGCATTTTTATGATTTCCTTTATAGGCTTCATTACCCCACATTAAGGTGAATGGGTTCGTGATCCCATATAATAAAAGCAGAAGCAATCTATGTGAAAAAAAAAATATCCAGGGTAATTAAACTGCATTTCCCATTTTATGTTACTGTATTACTACATCTCCATTCATATTCAGGCTGCCACAGGCCATTCCAATTCACTATGCAAATTGAAGACTCAGAACTTCCCAGGTTTGGAGAATGCTTACTTAGCTTCCATTCAGAAAGGAAAACTCTCAAAAATATTTCACTCTGGGTTCAGTTGCTTGGGGAATATAGGGATTCACTCTCCTGTAGCATTCTAGTCACTCACAGATGAATCCTTAATAGATGAATTAAACCTTCTGGGGTCGGTTCATGGTTTTACCTACTAGTATTCTCTGAAGGATCCCTGATCAGCATCATCTTGTCTTTTGGTGTAATTTTTCCTGAGGATTGAAGAATTTACATATATTTAGTAGGAGAACTTTGTCATCTGGCTGGCCAGATAACATGGAATACATTTATTTATTTCATTCTTGGAGCCACAAATGTTAAAAGAACTGACCAAATATGGCTTCTATGGGGGACAGGAGAAAGTCTTGGATACAATAAGGTATGACAGATTGTAAAAGGAAGTTGGAAAGTTTGTTTTGAAGAAGCTGCCTGCAAGCATTTGCAGGACTTACTGAAGAGGGAGCAGAAAAGTCTGAAGGCACAAGAGTTGGTTTTTAATGCTTAACAGACATCTAGATTCCAACCCTGCTAAGATGGACACCCTATGTGAGTGGTACAATTCCCCCACAAGAATATCCATCGACTCACTCAAGGATATTTAGTGGCCATAGTATATTATTCAGGGGACACTATAATGAATAAGGCAGAAAATCTCTGTGCTCATGGGCTTACTGTCTAGCAGGAAAGATTGTAGAAGTGAAAGTTGAATGACTAGCTGGGAGGAGGATTGTAGAAAGGATATATGCCTTGGGAGGGGTTGACTTTATAACTTCTGTGATCCCTTTCATCTCTTTAATTTTATCATTTTGTGATAGTGCTTGTTCTGGGTAGTTTTGTAAACAGCAGCATACACTTGAATAAACATGATTTTCTTGGTGACAAACTTGAACACTGGGATACTTCTCAAACCTTTGACCTCATTAAGTTTGGCAACTAGCCTCCCAAATTACAAAAACTAGTCAATACTGTTAAAAACATTTCAATTTATCTTAACCATAAGTTTACTTTTTTTAAAGACATAGAATCCCTTGATTAATAAAAAGAAAGAGATATAAAAGTGGGAAGTAGACTTTATCAAGTATTTTTATAGTGATATCTAAAGTCATTAGGCTTTTGTAATTGATACCAATTTTCATCAATTCGAAACTCTGCATTTTTAACATTTTAATATTCTGAAATGTGATGCATCTTACAGTTACTGTTCTATAATTAGCAGGTTGATATGTGATAATCATGTTTCTCAAATCAATCATGTTTTAAACTTGAGGAAATTTGTTATTTCCCTTCAAAAAATTTTAGTGGGTACCCATCTTCATGAAGAAGAAAGTCTAAGTTCTTCAGCTCAGAATCCAAAGACATGTTTTTCATCCTTATTTCCAACACTGTCCTTA